AGTTTCTCCTGAAACTAAATGTAGTTAATATTGTCTATAATAAACATAGCATTAGTATTGTAATGTCCATATAACCACTCTGATGATGGTTTATGTGAGCTGAAATCTTACATCGAGGAACAGCATAATAAAAAAAAAAAAAAAAAATATCCAACTGTTGGACAGTTTTTGTCTTTGTTTTCTTCTGAAACTAAAGCAACTATACAAAGCTTAGAATGGCTCATGATCAAACATAATAGACATTTGTTGTCTGTTATATTTAACAATATATGTTTAAATAATGATCTGCTACCCCAATACACTAAATATATCATGAAATGGAGTAAGTCTGATAATTATTTTAATATATTTTCTGTTTGTTATTTTTATAGATACAAATATTTAAGTAAATGTGCTATTTTTAATTTATTCTGTCCTGTGTGTGTATATATATATATATATATATATATATATATTGTGTGTAGGCAGCATATCTTTATTCAAACATGTTTCATGGAATAATATAGACATATTATATCTATTTATTTTATAATAATCCTTTCTAGTTCTCTAATCGGTTTCTTGATGTCAGGGTGAAATTCACCAAGGAAGGTGCTATAGTTTTTATTAACCCAAGTATTTCAATCTCCTTTAAGACCATCCTCAGGGATGAACTGCAAACAGAAACTCATTGTAACTGTGAAACAAGAATGCATCTTTGTAGTGAGTAAGTTGTTTATGTCCGTATGTAAAAATTATAATAAATTATTATTGCTCTACTATCGGCATTGAGCCCTCTTTTGTATTAATGCTGTGAACGTTAGAATTTATATTATTTTTGTTCTTCTTACATTCTGATTTTATATATATATATATTTTTGTCTGTGTGTGTTTCATGGAATAATACAGACATATGTCTATTTTTTATAATAATCCTTTCTAGTTCTTTAATCAGTTTCTTGAGGATATTTATCAAGGAAGGTGCCATAGTTTTAGATTAGACAACTAGAAAGGATTATTACAAAGAGTTTTAGAGTGTGACACTGGGACCTCATGGAGTTAATCAGAAGAAAGAAAAAGAAGAGACTACTAACTGGATGATAATTGTTGAAATTCTTGGGAAAGTGAATAAAAAGTTAAGAAAATTAAAAACAAAGTGTGTTAAAAAAATTGTTTGAAAATAATAAAATTAAATCATTAAGAGTTCCAAGTAGAATTGAACTCAAATTTAACTCGAAAGAATACAGTAAGATTGAGCAAAACCAAGACTACCCGTTCTTCCCCACTTTCCGTTGACAAGAAAGAGACAATGTATCATAAAAGATGTCGGTCCTAGAAAATAGAAAAACATGTTGCCAATAAAGCAAATGGGTGGTCACAAAAATATCTAAATTGTTCTGGACAAAGAGCCAGGAATAACATCCATTTTGAATTGGCCATTCAGAAGAAAAAAAATAGAAATTAGTGCTTAAGATTGGAGACAGGTTTGTTCATCTTAATTTCTGTGACATCTGTCAAAACTTTTATGGCTTAGATTATTTTGGATTCTTTTGGAGATAAGCTGATAAAGAAAAATTAATTACTAGCCCTGAAGTGACCAGAGGCGACCAGCTGTGTAGCCTGGTTGACTGAGAAACACATGAACAGGGAAAGATTTTTAATTTTTTTTTTTTTTTTTTTTTAACAAAAGATGTTGCAAATATTTTCTTTCCCACCCAGGATGACTAAAAATGAACAAAACAATTCTTCAGATTGGCTCCAATTATCTTAGATATGGTCAAGTCCGTGGCTTTGGAAAAACAACAACTAAAACAACCTGCTTGAGACAAGATAAAGAAAGATTAATTACTGGAAATCCTCTTTTCATCTATGCATTCTTAAGTTAATTCTTTATTCCAAAGAATTCTTTTTTGTGGGGGGCATATTCAACTTTTGATAATTTTGCAGCTATACACACTTAATGGTTTTAGACAGTTTTGATCAACATTTCTTTTCATGGTTAGCCGTAAGGAATAGTAAATGTAGAACTACCTTACACTTGAGTAAAATAATAATAATATTTATAAAGAATTTATTACAGGAAATATTAAGTTTTACGGAAACATTGTTAACAATTATGTATTACATAACAAATAAAAATAATATAAATTTTGATGCTATATTCGATTTGTTGTTAGGTATTTTTCATTTTCTACTTGTTATTGGCAGCATTTTAGAATACTTTGGCTGCAATGCTAAGTTTCCTAAGTTGAACAAACTGAAACTATTTTGTCTACATTTTGTTACCATTTTTCTATTGTTGTTTTTAGATTGCTTTTTTCTATTCATTTTGATAGACAATAGTGAAATTCTGAAATTTAGAATGATCTTATTCCATTTCAAAAATAAAACATGTAAAAAGGAATATTTTAAATTAATATACGACCAAGAATAAAATGCATTTGACAAAAAACCTTAATCATTTCATTATAATTATGTAACAATAATGTAATGATATTCCAGAGACATGGTTCATGTTACCTCATCTCATTGTATGGTTACAAAGTTGTTATATACCATACCTATGGACACTTATGGGTATGTCCCAATCTTCATAAATACATTGGACACTGTTCTAAGTGTGTGTGTGGGGGGGTAATATGCTTTCTAAGAAGTCCACCACTAGCAGTGGTTTACCTACTCCATGCTGCTGGCGAGTATTGTATTTTCTTGATGTTATAAAGATTACCATTTTCATTTCCAACCTCCATTTTGGTTATTCTTCATTCAGTAGACCTTTTCTACGTTATAACAGAACTATTAACTTAAATCAAGCTTGAAATATTGTGTAATCGACTAATTTTTTATAAAATACTTGGATATGATATAATGAATAATTTGCAGTGAAAAAATCCATTTTCAATTTTTTGTTGAATACGCCCCCCTCTTCCACCGAACATGTCATATAGAGGTCAGAACTACTTCAAGTTTACTTGGAAGATATCCCTCACAGATAAGGGGAGATCATTGTGTCTACATCACGAAACCATTAGATATACTCAGGTTAACTTGCTATTTATTAAAACTTAGTCTAAGTTGTACACTTATTGATCAACACATTACACCAGATCAAATGATGTCTGTTGACATTAGACAAATCTGAGTGTGTCTGCAGGATGTATAATAAGTATACAAAGCAAAGGTGATGATAATGAGACAAATATTAAAAAACAATAAGAATGTAATACAGGGTGTCCATAAAGTTCGTGTGCGCTTTTAAAAATTTAGAACTCAAAAGTGCACACGAATTTTATGGACACCCTGTATATGTATATGCTCGAGTGGGTGTGTATATATTTATTTATTAATGCTTTTGACAAAGATCCTTAATGATTTCACTATAATTATGTAACAATAACGTAATGATATTCTGAAGACAAATCTATGGTTTATGTTATCTCATTGTATGGTTATGAAATATAAAGCTAATTTGAGTTTGAAATATTGTGTAATCTGCTCAAATTCTTTTGTAAAATACTTGGATATGATATAATGAAAAACTTGCAGTGAAAAAAGCAATTTTCAATTTTTCGTTGAATACAGTCCTCCTCTGCTGAACATGTCATATATTATAACCAATTTTTTTTTTTTTTTTTTAATACTGCAGAAATTAAGAAAATATTCTGAAGAAGGACTCTATCTATAAACATATTCTTAAATAAACTCTCTGAAAAATAAGCCTATTTCTTCAGCTATTGGAAGTTTTTCTCTCTGTCTGCTTCTGAACACTAACTTACTCTTTTTCTTCATTTCCAAGCCAAAGGACTTGGCATATAAGCACAAAAACATTTTCTGACACCCAAATAAGTTCCACAAACCTTTGACAGGAATTCGCATCTGTGGTAGAATGATGACTCCTTTCTGCCAATGTCGAAGCTCGTATTTAGCCGCGTTATCTGCCTTGGCATTGCAACTGCGAAATAATTCCACTGGACGGTTGTTAAAATTTGTGCAGAATTGCAAGCCATCACATCCGAGTTTGCAAGGCTCATCCACTGAGGAAAGAGAAAAACAAAATTATAGATACAATCATACATATTTCTAGGGAATTGATTTAATTTTCAATCCAACACTGTTTATTGGTCAAAATGTCACTTCTAATAGATACCCATATTTGAGCAGATGTCCTGTTGTTTTATTTTTTTTTTTATTTTTTTAAAACAGTATTATGTCTCCTTATCTGCACACTTTGGATGTTTAATAAAGGAAATGCATTCTTTAGCGTGTTCTCTATTAAGTGTCTCAAATGCACATGTTAGTAGACGCAATGTACACTGTTTAAAGAAAGAAAAATAAATAAAATGGTTGGAACGTCTACTTAAAAATGGGCATCAAATGGGTAAATTTGCCAAAGGTCATATTTACTTTTATTTTATATCCTCCCACCCCTGAGCACTTTTAAATATTGCTACATTTGTTTTCAAGGATTGTTTTGTGTATATTTATGCAACTGTTTTTTTTAATTCCATTCCAGTGTTCTCCTGTTTCATGGGATCAATCTCAAATCACTGAAAGTGATGTCATATAAACAGTCAAACTGAAATTTTTAATGATTTTTTTTTTTTGTTTTATGTGTTTTTTATTTATTTTTAAACACACTTCAATATATGGACACTTATGGAAAACAATACCTTATCTATATATATATATATATATATATATATATATATATATAAAAATCTGTTTATACACTTTTTTTTATTGATACAAATATTTAAGTAAATGCACTGTTTATAATAAACAGTATTAACAACATTTATCAGCCTGAATGTCTGAGAAATTGTCATAGAAAATATGCGTCCTCCAATAGGAATCGAACCTGTATCCTATGAAGAACCATCATATAGCCCGACATGCTTTTATCGATTTCACCACAGAGGAGTGTTTCAGTTAGCAAGGTTGATTTTACTGTTTTTAAACTACGATTTTTTATGATTTTCTCATATACATTCATATCTGCTTGATGCGTATCCAAATGTAAACAAATGACGTTGCACATTATGAAATGGACAGTCCAACAAGTATTTTAAGACATTTTTATGTTTATACATTTTTTTTTATAGATAGAAATATTTAAGTAAATGCTCTGTTTATAATAAACAGTATTAACAACATTTACCGGCCTGAATGACTGAGTAATTGTCATAGAAAATATGCGTCTTCCAACAGGAATCGAACCTGTATCCTATACGGAACTGTCATATAGTCTGATGTTTTCTCATTTTCTGTATTTGTATCTATAAAAAGGAATGTATAAACATAAAAATGTCCTCAAATAATTGTCGGACTTTGTTCATTTCATATTGTGTGACATCATTTGTTTACATTTGGATACACATCAAGCAGACACGAATGTATGTGAGAAAATCATGGAAAATTGTAGTTTAAACACAATAAAATCAAACTAAGAAAAAGAAATCTTTCCTCAAAAAAGTAAATTGGTAAAAGCATGTCAGGCTATATGACGGTTCCATATAGGATACAGGTTCAATTCCTCTCCGGATGCATATTTTCTATGAAAATTTCTCGGACATTCAGGCTGGTAAATTTTGTTAATACTGTTTATTATAAAACAGCGCATTTACTTAAATATTTGTATCTATAAAAAAGAACGTATAAAACATAAAAATGTCTTAAAATAATTGTCGAACTTCGTCCATTTCATTATATATATATATATATATATATATATATATATATATATATATATATATATATATATAAAATGTGGAGTTAAAATGATACGGTATGAAAAATGGAATCAATAAAGAATATGGGTTGAAACTGCACACATATATGCATATGTAAGTATATGCCAAGGGGTGGGTGGTGTACTGAAAAATTATTTTCTTGATCACCTCTCTCCCTACCTTGAAACAATTAGAAAATATAAAAATGTATCTTTCAAGTTCAGAATATTTCCCTACCTTGTTTAATACACATCTGCATTGGTGATTCCATTGGGTCAACAAGGGACTGCATGGGTGTCAGGCATTCTGTGTGGAAAGCTTTGGAACTGTCACCCCACAAACTGCTGAATGTCTACAGAGAGAGAGAGAGATTATAAACAAGAAAATCATTTTAAGATGAACCCACAAACTATCAACCAATTTTCTTTTTTTTTTTCACTGTGTAATTTAATTTCTTGGTTTGGTTTGTTTTATGGCATATCAACCTCAATGGGTTATTTAATGCTGACAATTTTCATTGCTGGTAATTTTTTTTTTTTTTTTTCAAAAATGTAAGGCTGGTAATGTTTTTCCTTCAAAACTATTTCTGGTAATATTTTTCCCTTTAAAAATTGTATTGCTGGTAATATTTTTTTTACAAAGTGTTTCTTGTATTAAAACCTATTTTTACACTTTCATAGTGTTTTGGTTTGGCTTATTTTGTTTAATGGCATATCAACCTCAAGGGGTTATTTAATGCCAACAACAATTTTAGGATAGATTTGTATGAATAGAATATGTATTTGGTTTAGATTGGTTTGGTTTATTTTGTTTTATGGCATATAAACCTCAATGGGTTATTTAATGCCAACAAAATTTTTTTATTGCTGGTAATATTTTGTTTTGTCAAAAATCTGTTTCTGGTAATATATTTCCTTCAAAATTGTATTGCTGGTAATAATTTTTTTCAAAAATGTATTGCTGGTAATATTTAACTATTTTCCCATAGCTGGGACCCTAACTGGTGCTACCACCCCAGATCAGGGTGGACCTGGGAACACCAGCAATTAAGAGGTGGTTCCACACTCCTCAAAACCTCCTCAAGAGGTCTTGCTGCTGGACGTAGTTTAGTGTCTTACTCAGGATGCGGATGTAGTTTAACGTCTTACCCAGGACGATTAAATTTCATGGTCATTCTCATAATGATGTTAATTTTGTTTGTTTAATTATGTTTAACAACTGATCAATCATTCTGAAGTCATTCAAAGTCAAACAGTTTTTTTTATTTTTATTTTTTTTCCTATTTTGTAGAATCGGTCGGTTAATTGTTATTTCAGTCCGGGTGTTGTTATCATTTTGCTAGCATTGAATTGTTTTTATTATTAAATGAGTTTTTACAATTTACTTTAGAAACTCTATAATTTGGGGAAAAAGCTATATTTTCAAATTGTTTTTATGTTTGTTACTTTTAGAATTTGCTGCATATATGTGTATGGTTATCACATTCTATTAGTATGTTTTATTGTTAGTCCTTCATTGCATTGGTTACACTGAGGCACATCTTCTCTAAGCAGATGTATGTGGGTCAGTCTTGCCATATGGACACTTGTTAGTAAGGTATCTTTCCTTCTGTCATCGTGTTTATTTTTTTTTTTTTTTTTTTTTGATGTTCATATAACTTATTCTGAGGAAAGGTGTTCCATATTGCTTGTCATTTTGATTTTATGAGGTCTTTGACTTTCCTTTTAAATTCTGTATGTGGAGTTCTTAAGATTGGTCATTCTCATGTCAATTATTTACAAAAAAAAAAATACACTTTTGCAGCATCAGGAGAGTTTTCTTTCAAAACCATTGGATTAATTTGCTTTCTGCAGTTAATGCTATTAAAATTTCTGCAGCAAAAGAGTTAAATTCACCTTAATAAAACATGTTGATTCTGGTGTGTGTTTATAATATATATATATATATATATATATATATATAGGAGCAGTAGATTATTATTTAAACATATATTGTTAAATATAACAGACAATGAATGTCTATTATGTTTGATCATGAGCTGTTCTAAACTCTGTATATTTGTGTTAAATTTGAGTGAAGATGACCAAAAACTTAATCAAGGAACATCTTAATAAAACAATATCCAAATGTTTCACAATTTTTGTCGTTATTTTCACCTAAAATTAAAGCAAATATACAGAGGTTAGAATGTTTTGTGATCAAACATAATAATCATTCATTGTCTGTTATATTTAACAATGTGTTTAAATAAATATATATATATATATATATATATATATATATATATATATATATATATATATATATATATATATCCACACACTACAGTGCAGAAGTTTGAGGAACTCATACTAATTTTTTAGATTGGCCCAAAAAGTAGTTGTTTTGTACTTTAAATAGGAGGAAATTGTTATACATACTTTAAGAAAGTATGACATGAATTTTATTAGAAATTTTATTATGACAAAAATAAAAGAAGCATTTTATGATTAAATTTTGCTCTCATCAAAATAGCCTCCTTTAGCTGCACAAATTTTTGGTATTCATTGCAAAAGTTTCTCAAAGTATAAGTTTGATGGTTGATTTAATTCTTTTTTCAATGACGCTAAGAGTTTTTTTTTTTTTATACTTCTGTCAAGTTTATCCCATGCTAATTCTGAGGGTGGCTTCAAGCTTTTGAACTGTAGTGTGTGTGTGTATATATATATATATATATATATATATATATATATTTATACACAAACATTGGCCTCTGATCTGGTGATTGGAGGTTTTGAGGAGCATTGAGCCAACTCTTAATTGATGTTGTTCCCAGGTCCACCCTGACCTGGGGTGGTACACCTGTTAGGGTTCTAGCTATGAGCAAATAGTTAACCCCCAAATAAATCAATATGAAAGTATAAATATAAATTTTTATAGTAAAATTACCAGCAATACTTTTACAAATATAAAAAAAAAAAAATGACCAACAATAAATCATATCTGTAGTTGAAGCCATAAAATTGTGTTCAACATATTTAGATTTTGGAGATATATATATATATATATATATATATATATATATATATATATATATATATATATATATATATATATATATTTTTTATATCTATGGATTTATATCCATTTCTTGCTTATATATATATATATATGATCATGAAATAAATTGATTCAATAAACTATTTCATAGATTTGATATACTAATATAATTTATATCTTAAATTGATGAAGATAATGGATTCTATTCATGCAGAGAAGGAACAAAAGTATTTGAATTTTGGATCTATTTTGTGATTTCTGGCTTTCTCACTGGCTGTTAGGCATTTGCATTAATGCAAAATTATATGTTATATTCAGCAAATATTTATGTATAAATTTCATAAGCGTTTATAAGGGGATCCCTAAGGTAAAGCCTAAAATATAAAGAGGTCCGCAAGTCAAAAAGTTTGAAAACCCCTGTATTAGTGTATCATGTGACATTTGAAGACCTAATTTTGAAGCTAATTTTAAGGGGGTCACATCATATATCAGATATAAATTAGCGTATGTACTGCTGACCCTGGCTACGTCATTGACCAAACTATATATCCATTTACAGTAGTGAAAAAAGTACAACTGTATTTAAAATAAACATGATTTTGAAAAGAACTGATGTTTTACTTAACTGTATCCAATGATCATATTATAAAATACAAACATAGCGAATATGCATCTTTTCCATTGTTTATGTTTATGAAATGCTTAGCTGATCAAGACAACCGTTTATGCTTTGCAAATCAGCTGAATAAGGCAAACTACCAAAGGATTTTTTTTTTTTTTTTTTTTTTTTTTTTACTTGCTAAAAGAAACAATTATTAATTGAACTATTATTTTTATTTTAGCATATGAAAGTAAATAAAAATTTATTAAAGTGAAAAACATGCATAAAATATGTCACACACCCACACACACATATATATATATATATATAAGATCAAATGCAGAACAAATATGGATTGGAATCTGACAGAATGATAAAAGAACAACTAGGAAATGAATATCAATCTAACATGTTCCACTTTTATGAAAACTTTGTCAGGGATTGAGAGAAAACAAAAAAATCTTTGACGAAGCTTTAATAAAAGTGAAACATATTAGATTGATACACATTTCCTATTTGTTCTTTTAGCATATATATTATTATTATTAATTTATGCAAACACACACAAATCCAGTAACTCATTAGTGTTGTATATATTACAGCTGTAGTAAAAGTGGTTATCCTATACTGGCAGCCACTCAAGGCAAGTGAGCCCAGTTTACCCTACTATTTAACCCATCAATGGAGGAAATTGAACTGATGTTGTTTTTAATGACAATAGTACAAAATAAACAAAATATTTAAACTCTGCACACATTCACATCAATAACCATCCATGGCTGCACATTTGTAGTGTTGAGGAAATATATATTATGAAGAATTAGGGAAACACACACTTGGACTTGCTTACCTTCTTGCAAAGATCTCGGCATTTACCGGTCAGGGCTTTTCGGCAACACTGTAGTTTGGCTCCATCAATGATACTCAAGCTTGTTTTGTTCTTTTCAATCCACAATTTGAGAAAACATTTCCAGATTGAAACCTATGAAATGGAAAATGAAAAGTATAAATGTATAAAATAGAATTCATATGACAACTGCTAAAAGGATGACATTGGTACCCCCATGTCAGATAATGATCCTGGGTTCAGGTTTTGATGGCATGACATTACTACATGACCCTGGGTGCGGGTTTTGATGGCATGACATTACTACATGGCGGCAAGGTCTCATCATTTTACAGTTAAAATGCTTAGATGTAACCATAAGTTGTATACTAACAGTTTCTTCTCTTGTACTTTTCACTTGTAGAAGTCCTTTCCGGCTTCTTACTTCCCTGTCAACTTTGACCTTCAAAAATTTAAAGGCAATGTCAATCATTATCTTCTGATTTGTTAATTCCTGTTCTTTCATTGTTCTCTCTCTTTCTCTCTCTCCTTAATGATGTTTTCTTTTTCTCCAATTCTTTCACTCTCAATAACTCTTTACCTCTTAGTGGCTTTATTGTCTCAAGATATACACACAAGTAATTTCTAAGAAATCAAGGTATCCTTTACCTGACATTAACATTTAGGATTGTGTGTGTGTGTGTGTGTCAACGAAACAGTCTGTCTGCATGACTATGCTCTCGAAATAATTTGTGCTCTCAGAGAGGAAGGGGTGATTTTATGAACAGTGGCTGCTGCTTATGCAATGCTCTTCAACTAGAATTGAGCTCTCTTAGCCACTGATGCCTTTCGTATAGTAAAAATGCTAAAATTTCCCTTACTCTCTGCCATGCAACAATAGCTGGAGGGTAGAATCTCTGACTGATGACAAATTGGTCGGATTTCGATCCCGGCTTGAATTGGATGATAAGCTGTGATACAGCAAATAGTCTGTCTGCAGATGACTATATATTTGTTTACTTTTTTTTGTGAATGCAGGCTCTTAAATTATAAGGATATACCACAACCACACTGTCATGGAGACACACTTGTTACTTTTTCCACAAGTGTGTCATCAGACAACACATTAATAAGCAGCATAAAGGATCATAGTAATATTAGACAGCTACTAACAAACTATAACAAAATACTAGTAAAATAAAATAGTAAAAAGACTTATGATCATTGAAGCGATACTTATACAACAAAAATAATCATCTATAAATAAAAACAATTATAAGAGCCCACATCCTCAAATGTATATAAAAAAAACAAAAAACATACATCACACCTTGCCTGCATCACAACACTCATTGCCTACATCACTACAGAAAAGAAGCTGTTAAAATAGAACAGACAGTTGCATCTAACTAGGTCAGCAGTAAAACAGTGAGACCTAGTTGCCAATCTAGTACTATGCTTAAATTCATATAGTTGAGGCACTAAACAAAAAGGCTCAACAGAACATGTTTCCAAAACAGAAACTAAAAATTTCAATTATAGAATTAAATCATTTTGACAAGGGATGATAATTGAATTTCCCCGTATCCTTAGAAACTAATATTATGAATGTATGTGCTTATAAAACTCATTAAATTTCAAAATAAGTTATTTAAAAATTTGCTTGAAAATCAACAGGAGTAGGCACTTTAATTTAATTCTATAATTGCATTTGAAGTTTTTAGTTTCTGTTTTTGAAACATGGTAATTCCTTTGTAGCGATGGAACCATATTTTTAAATTAGTACATTTATAATATTTCTGCTCTGTAGATTTGCATTGAGCACTGTTTTGTAAAAATAATTAATAAGAACACTGGATTATATATCTTACTGTTCTATCTCTTTATTATAATATATGCTGAGCATGTAATAAATAGCAAGAATTGTGTGGTTGATTTTAATGGTGACCGTTTTTCGATTTTATCTAGGTCCCACTCCTCATATCACCTCAAGGTTCTAGAGTCCTTGTATATCGGATCCCGGGGGTTTCCCTTTTTAAACAGAGAGAATGCTTACTGGGTCTGAATATTATTGGACTGTAGTTTTCTTGAAATTCATATTTTTTTCCCTTCCATTTGTTATATTAAGTTAATTTACACAGTTATATATTTTTTTATATCCCAGAAAATAAACTTGATAAGTCCTGGGACGAAACCGGTTGTTCTTTTTTAGCTTTTTTAAAAATGCCATATAAATTTGACTTTTTCTAGCTATTGTAAAATTTTATACCATAAAAACACACACACATATATATATATATATATATATATATATATATATATATATATATATATATATGTGTGTGTGTTATTGGTGAGATAGTGAAGATGCCAGATCTGGATCAATTACGTTACAAACCCATCTTTGAATTTTGTCAAGAATCTCAAGATATACAACAGGAGCACCAGGTTAGATATAGCAGCAGTATTTGCTGCAAGGATGAATGGTAGATTTATAAGTGTGCAAGATGGATTCTGAAGAGAAATATTTTCTGGCATGATACAGGAAACCATCTTTCCTAGCAGTTGACATAGCAATTGATTCAATAGAATCATTCTACTTCATGTTGCTAGCATTTGTAGCAGTAAAGTCATTATTATTTCCAAAAATATTTTATAATATAAAAACATTTTCTAGCTTTGAATAACCTGCAAAAAGTTAATGATTCATTTTTTTTTATGCCTTATTTTAAAATGCTATTAAAATGAATACGACATTGCTTCAAAATGAATATCTAAGAATAAGTCAATATCTGTAAAAGTTTCTGTCTTATATTAGGTGCGGTCATGAAAGAAAGTTAAACCACTATTGATTGGTTCTTATTTCATTTATATTTTGTTAGCATTACCGGTTGTATTCTTCAATTTTGTCACTTACTTTTGTATAAGAAGACCTCTTAAAATTAGTTTGGTTTGTTTAAAGGCATATCGACACCTCAATGGGTTATTTAATGCCGACAAGATTTTTATTGCTGGTAATATTTTTTTTCTTCAAAAATGTATTACTGGTAATATTTTTTTCTTTTCTTCAAAAATGTATTGCTGGTAATATTTTTTTTTTTCTTCAAAAATGTATTGCTGGTAATATTTTTTTCTTCAAAAAATATATTGCTGGTATTAAAACCTATTTTTACACTTTCATAGTTGTTTTGACCCCAGTTTGGGGGTTAACTTTTTGCGTATAGGTGAGACCCTAACAGGTGCTATGACCCCTGGTCAGGGTGGACCTGGGAACACCAGCAATTAAGAGGTGATTCCATGCTCCTCAAAACCTCCTTGCTGTTGTCCATAGTTTGTTGGCTTACCCAGGATGTAGATGTAGTTGTCTTACCCAGGATGACTTAAAATTAATCTTTTATTTCGAACTGGTCTTTTACTGATTTATAACTGTCAAATTACTGTTCTTTCATTTTATTTATTTTTAATTGCTTTGAACAGCAGCATCAACTAAAATATGACATGTAACTCAAATAGAAAATAATGATGTAATCGAGATGTTGACATTCCACACCACTTCAAGCAAAAGGTTAGGAAGGAAACCCCCATCAATATTAGAAAGAGCAATAACAGCTACTAGAGTTGAGAAACATAATTTCTTGAAAAATTGTTTTAAGAGAAAGATTTTGTAAATTTCAACTGAAAGCAGTACTGGCTGCTTGGTCAATGAATGCCAGCTGTTTCCTTATAAGGAAACGGCTAATATTACCATTAGATTAATGAGAGTTTGAAATTTCAGTTATTTTCTGTAATGTGCTTAATAATAAAATCATTGATTATCCATGTTCATTGTTATTAAATGTTGATTTTTATGAGCATTAATGCAATGTCCTGCTTTGCGTTTGAAGTTTTGAAAACAGTCATGCATAGTCTTTCTTTTCCTTTCCTTGACTATTTGTTGTTTTTCATTAAATTATTGGCAGCAAAGAAACCAGTGAAAAGAACATGTGTCTTGGGTTGTATTTCTTTGAAGAAATAATGATGTGGTTTGATATCTGAGGCCGACCAGCCCACAATGAAATAAAACTCATTATAATTGTAATGAAGTGTCGATCAACACAGAATGTTGTGATAAAAACCAACAATAATGGTAATGGCAAAATTAGTTGTTACCATACAGGAAACGTTCGACATTCATTGATCGAATGGTTAGAATTAAAGTTTTTTGAAATTTATAAAATATGCTTTTCTTAAAAATAATTTTTCAGATTAGAATTGTAAAGTACATTGGGTTGTACTTCTTTCTAGAACTGATGGAAGTTTCCTTCCTAAACTTCTGTCTAAGTTAGTGTGGAAAGTCAACATCTTGGTTATATCATTTTCCCTTCCAGTTACAAGTGCTATCCATTTTAGTTGTTGCTGCTGTTGGAAGTCTTCATGTGATGTGTGTTTTGTTATTTGGTTCTTTGAGACTGGCTCTACAGAATCACAAAGAAGAATTATATCTTTTAAGACTTAGAGAAATCATTATGTAGATCGAAAAAAAAGCAAATGTTGATGAGATTGCGAGGGTGACAAAGTACAGCCTGAGGTCCCCAATCGGGCTTGCACCCCATGTGGTTCTGGCATAGTAAGCACTGGCCCTATGTGTATATATAAATAAAACTAGGATGAGGTCTCAAGCAACCTTCCTAGAGATGGTGTCTCAATAAAAAAATCAGTGTAACTTGACTACTGTGAGTTGGGTGTCAGGAAGGGCATCTGGACTGCTGAAACATTATCTCAAATCATTATGAGAGATCCACTGTCAGGCAGGACCTCCACCTTGCATATGTCCTACTATTTAACCTGTAGCTGGGATGGCAGAAGAGATGGATTCATACCTTTTCCAAGGGTATTTGTGCAAAAGTGGATGTAGTGGGAATGACTGGAATTTGAATTCAGCCCAGAGATTTCAATTCCGAACCACCATTCATTAAACCACCATCAGATCCAATATAGTAAAAATATGACAATAATAATAATAATATTACCAATATGTAATAATAACATTATATAATAATAGTAATAACAATCTAATAATCATACTTATTATAAAACCCAGGTTGTGTGTGTGTGTGTCTGTTTGTTTATATATTGGATCGGATTTCCTACATTTTTCAACCGATTTCAACAAAACTTTACAGGACTACGTAAAATTACCTTGCGGTGGTTCTGACAGTACCAAAAATTGGAAAAACACAATTGTTTTGCACGAAATCAATTTGAAAACACAATTAAGAGGCATCGCTGTCGTGAGAATGAAAAGGGCACAACTCATATCGAGTTATACTTATAAAACTCAGGTTGTTTGTGTGTGTGTTCGTTTATATATGGGATCGGATTTCCTACATTTTTCAACCGATTTCAACAAAACTTCACTTTTTTTTTTTTTTGACAGGTAGTGTTTCTTATTGTCTTGCACACTTTTTTCTTTATTTTTACATTCAGAAGGCTTTAAAAATTCCATTTATTTATTTACTCAATGTTTTTGTTCGAGTTTGGGTTTGACCAATTCGTAAAAAAAAATGCGTGTCCGTCAACCTTAAACAATAATCTTTGTCAATTTTATTTTTCAGTCTTTATGATGGTCGATATTTGATATATCTCTTACTGTTACATCCCCGGGCAACGCCGGGCTCTACTGTTAGTATTATATAATAATAACAATAATAATAATAACTAGGTCTGATAGGACTACACAATACAGTCAGAACAATCAAAGCTAATTGCCTTAACATCATTATTAGAAACCACAAACAAAAAAAAAGGCTCCTTATTGATATTGCAGTCCCTGCACACTGCACTGTATCTTGGAAGATCTTCAAAAAGCTATCAAAATACAAGGACCTAGAAATTGAAATCTCAAAAATGTTGCACATGTGTACATCAACAATCCCTGTTGTAGTTGGAGCCCTCAGATTGATTGGAAAAGATTCCAATAGACTCATTGAAGGGATTCTTGGTAGCTCATGCCTTAAAGAAATACAAAAAATTATTTTCGTGAGAACAGCCAACACCTTATGAAGGGCTTCATCTATATAAAATAAGTGTTGCTCTTTTTTTGGTTTTTAAAATTGCTCAGTAGTAAATGTCATGATGCCATTTCTGACCTTGAGTCTCTGGTTGGGACCTAGAAAGAAATATGTATACACCAGAAATCTAAGGAAATAATAATAATAATTTTTAAATTGCTCAGTGGAAAATGTCAAGATACCATTTCTGACCTTAGGTCTCTGGTTGGGACCTGGAAAGAAATCAGTACACACCAATAATCAAAGGAAATAATAATAATAATGGTGATGATGATAATGTATCAATAATAATAATAATAATAATGAAAAGTTTGCTGATCGATAGTGCTGAAATAGAAAGCAACATTAACAAAGTAAAACCAGAAATAAAATCATGAAAAGCAGAAAAAGGAGGTGGAAAAATTTGGTTGATCCTTACCATGGGTGAAGGTTGCCCGCATTTTCCTATCACCATGTCAGTTTTGTCATTCTCGGTTTTCAGGGACATAACGGCACTCTTGCATGTGTCCCGACATTCCTGTGTGTCACCTTCCTCACAACAGGGAAGGTCTGGAAAAAAAAAAAAATAACAAAAAATGAAGACATTGTGAATTTCATTAATGGTTGTTCATTTTTTTTATGAAAAATTTACAAGAAAAACAATCTATTACAACTGCCCCCACCCACCATTTAAATAAAGGGTTTGGTTCAAAGTTTCCTGTAGGTCACTATGATGACATCCACCTGATGACAGGTAGAGGGTGTGGTGGTCAAAATGTTATGACAACAGCAACAAAAGATGAGGACAATGTGTAAAGGAAGGTTTGTGATTCACCAACTATGGAGAAAGTAATGTGAAAATGAAATGCTTTTATCTTTCATTATGGGAAGGCAGCAAGTCACTTACTTTTCGAGCTTGTGCAAATGGATAAGAGAACAGAGAGTGGGGGGGGGTCCTTAACAAAGCTAGAAAAACTAACAAGAGCCACATGAGATAGGCGGTCATGGCTCTCCACAAATTCCTATGTTCCAAAGAGATGCTGGAATTGGGCTGGGATCAAAATGTATTGTCAGCCACTTTCTCACCAACATGACATGACTTCTCTCTATAAATACTTTCATGGCAACTGCTCTGAAGAGCCTTTTTTCTCTGGTGCCCTATATACACACATTTAAGTGTGCTACTAGATTGGCATTTAGGTCCCACCCTTGTGTTGAAATAGTTAAATGCAAATTGTTAATTGTCCTTTTTTCAATCCTCCATATACTTAGTCTTTTCTCTCACTTTTACTCACTC